CTCTAGAGTAGCTAGGATTACAGGTGCCCACCACCACAGCCAACTAATTTTTGTATTTTTTCTAGAGATGGGGTTTCACCATTTTGGCCAGGATGGTCTTGAACTCCTGACCTTAGATAATCCACCCACCTTGGCCTTCCAAAATATTTGGATTACAGGCATGAGCCACCACACCAGGCCTTAATCCATTACATTTGTAAATACCTAATTTCCAAATGACATCACATCTGAAATACTGGGTTAGCACTTTGATGTAAGTTTTTGGGAGAACACTTCAACCAATAGCAGAGACAAACATGTTTCCCTTCTGCTAGGCCTGTAGTGAAGGTGTGTTTGTATTAATCAAGCCAGGAGTCAGGCAGAGTTTGAAGTTTGTTATTGCTATGGTTACCCTTAGTGCATTAAAGGCTTCACACTCCCCTAGTGATGTGTCTCTTTCATTCGTCAAACTGCATTCTACTGTTATTTTTACTCAACTCTTGTTAGTGTGGTATTGGGAGTGGGGAAGCCAGTGTTTTCCATGTTCTGATTGAGCATAAGCCATGAGTAGGGACTCTGAACTTTGGTCTCAGGCATGTGTGGCCTTCACAAATGTTCTTCACCCACCTCCAGGTGTAATGCAGGGCCTAGCACACATTCCCACATCTCACAGCACAAAGGGAAATGACTGGCACGTCTTTCAAGTCCCCTTTTTCAGGGAATTACCTGGTGATATGCTCACCAAAAGAAGGGAAGAAAACTAAGAAGGGAAACAAGGGACTCAGACAACAACAGACTTAAAACCTCTGGACATAGATAGAAGAGAAAAGATAATTCTTAGGGTAATGGAAACAGGAAAGCCCTCGGATGACAGCTGTGAGTCATGTCACCAAACTTCAGTTCATGCTAAGAGGATAGAGGCCTTCAGGAGAGGGCACCAGAAAGAAAATGAATAGAATCAACAAATTACATGTTGCGTTTACGTTTATTGAGAGGAATTTTAGAGATTAGCAGATATGGGGCTGAAAGAGATAAACAGAAAATGCAGCAAGTGAGAAATCAGGCAATTTTAATCACAGTAAAACAAAATTTGTGTATCATAGAAATTATAATTATGTTACCTAACTGGCTCAGCTGTGAACAATTATATAGTTGTATGAACATATTAATTAAATTACATGAATATATTTGCATATTTGTGGGAAAAAACAAAGTATATCCCTGGATGGTGTGATAGATCTAAATTCTCAGTTTACCTAATATAATGTTAATTTGAAATGGCTAACATCAGACATATTACAGTCATGGAGAAATAGCAAGGTCACTAGAATAAATCCTGCCTCTGTTTACCAGGAATTTGGCAAAGGATGGCATGACTCAGGAGATTTTTGTTTTTATATAAGCCTGTTTTGTTACTGGATTGAGCTAATAACTACATAATTTTGATAAAATTCATAATGTGGAAAGCATTGAAATATTGACTAAGTACACTATCCTCTTAGAATATCAAAAGTACTTTACAATTTATTCCCAATACATCTCTGAAGAGTAGGCCTTTTAAAATAACATTTTATTGATAGTTGCTAAAATAATGAAATAAAACGCCATTTTCTGCTTATAAGTGGTAATGATAGAATTCAGAATTGTAGAGCTTCTCTCCTAAATAAAATAGAAAATAGTTTTTAAATCTTCCATTCATAGTCTATTACTATACCAATTATATGTGGTTATAAATCACACCCAGTGGGAAACACAGCCTAAACAGATTCATAAAAATATCACTTGAAGAAAAGATATGAGACCTGGCATTCAGGTTACAAGATTAAACCTCACCCACTTCATTGTCCAGAAAAATCCTAATATTGCTGGGTTTTACTTTTAGCAGAAGAACTCTTGCCACTCTACCCACTGTAATGACTTCAGTAAAATTATTACATTTCTGTAGCCGAATACTAAAGAATTAATCCCATCATGATAGTGTCTTTTTCCATCTCCTGGGAAGGCAATTCTTACAAACAACACTGTTAGGTCTATCCAGTTTGATTTTGTTCTCTTTCTCTTCCTTCTAGGAATACCAGCATTAGTCTTTTTTGGATCATGAGTCTTTTGAGTGTCTTTCCAAATCTCACTGTATTCTATCATCAGAGATACAAGATTATGACTTGCTGTTTCAGGATCTAAAGTCAGATCTATTTAAAATGAATTAAGAATGTTTTGTCAACCATAATGTTGTGGCAGAAGTCTAGAATTACCATTCTTTAGTTAAAATGGAAAAGCTCATTAAATTTTTATTTATTTATTATCTTGTAATTTTTGATGGAATGTTGCTCTGTCACCCAGGCTAGATTGCAGTGGCACGATCTTGGCTCACTGCAACCTCTGCCTCCCAGGTTCCAGCGATTCTCCTGCCTCAGCTTCCCAAGTAGCTGAGATTACAGGCACCTGCCACTGCACTGAGCTAATTTTTGTATTTTTAGTAGAGATGGGGTTTCACCATGTTGGCCAGGCTGGTCTCTAGCTCCTGACTTCATGATTTACTCGCTGGCCTCCCAAAGTACTGGAATATAGGCTTGAGTCATCACGCCTTATCTGTTATTGATCAGTAGGCTGAGGTGGGTGGATCACATGAGCTCTGGAGTTTGGGAACAGCTAGGTCAACACGGTGAAACCCAGTCTTTACCAAATATTCAAAAACTAGCTGGGCATGGTGGCCACCCCTGTAGTCTCAGCTACTCCAGAGGCTGAGGTGGGAGAATGGCTTGAACCTGTGGACCAGAGGTTGCAACCTCAGCCTACATGACAGAACGAGACCCTGTCTCAAAAAAGATTAAATAAACAAAAGTTTCCTTCCAAAGGGTTAATCAGTTTTCAGTATATCAATGCTTCATTCCAGGCAAGCTAATTTCACTTAGGTTTTTGTTTTTTTTTTTTTATGTACTAAAATTGAATCATCCATAAAAGCTGTAATTTAATCTGACAGTAAAATACAAGAAGCAATATTAGAGTAGGTTTAGTATATATTTTAGCTTTGAAAGCCATAGAAATCAGTTATTCCAGTTTTTTCTTCTGTGGGAAAATAGACCCATTTTTCCAAAGCATTATGTACAATTTTAATTAGAATATAATGAGAGATGATATAACATATTTTTATATATATATAAAATGAAGTCAATGACTTAAGAACATTATCTGCTGCAATGAGGTTGAGGGGACATTTTATAATATCATTACACATATAAAGTAGAATGGTTCAACTGTTTAGTGTTTGATAGGGAGGAATCAAGATAAAAAGGTCAATATGAAATCATTTGATTATAGTAGCAATATCTAACATTTGAAATGCATCCATGCTCTTTTGCATAATCATATGAGAGTCAAGTATATTCTCACACCTGATATAACTGCTATTGCAAAGGAAAAATACTATTGTCTTATTTTCCAAGAGATATACATACACAGAGTAATATTTTTTTCCAGGGAACTTGTGCAAACCAACATAAGATCTAAATTCTTCACCTAATATATACACTGTGAGAAGCCTCTTCAGATTTATTTTTTGAAGTCTGAAATGCTGGCACTTTCCAATCAGGCAACATTTCTTCATTCCTGTCATCTGGCTCAGAGCTGCTGTTGACTACAGGTGTAGAGCAGCAGACATGATTTCTTTTTAGGATTCTTCTTTTCCACTGGTGTTTTGCTATTTATCTGTCTGACCGAGTCATAAAACATCTCATTAACATTGAGCTTTGACTTTGCAGAAGTTTCTACAAAGGCGCAGTTACACCACTGTCTTGCCAAATTCCGGCCCTGTTCTTTGCCATCTACTCGCTCATCTTTCAGGTCATATTTATTGCCAACCAAAATCATTGGAACATCTTCTGTGCCCTTAACCCATAAAATCTATTCTCTTAGGTCCTGTAAGGCATTAAATGTGGATTGAACTATAATAGAATATACTAGTGTTAAACCTTGTCCGTTCTTCATATACAAATTCCTAATTGCTGTAAATTGCTCTGTCTCTGCAATATCCAAGATTTCTAGCATTCACTGTTGTTAATCCACTTCAACTTGCTTTCTTTAGAAAATTTCTATCATTAGGTCATGTTAAAAAAAAAAAATGGCTCACGCCTGTAATCCCAGCACTTTGGGAGGCCGAGGCGGGTGGAACACGAGGTCAAGAGATCGAGACCATCCTGGTCAACAAGGTGAAACCCCGACTCTACTAAAAATACAAAAAATTAGCTGGGCATGGTGGCGCGTGCCTGTAATCCCAGCGACTCAGGAGGCTGAGGCAGGAGAATTGCCTGAACCCAGGAGGCGGAGGTTGCGGTGAGCCGAGATCGCGCCATTGCACTCCAGCCTGGATAACAAGAGCGAAACTCCGTCTCAAAAAAAAAAAAAAAAATTCCCTGAGCAAACTGAACTGTCAGAGCAGATTTCCCAATGCCTCCTGAACTAAGGACCACTAGCTTGGACTCACACAGGATGTGGTCTGTTTAAATACTGACGATCCCTCCTCTTTTCTTTGAGCTGACGCTCCCCTTTCAATCCATCTCAGGGCTCTCAGATCCTGTCTCTTTTTTCTCTTCTCCCTCACAATTGTCCCTAATTTAATGGACTTTCCTTCCTCTACCAATCCACTCTCCTTTCCTGTCATCACTCTTTTTAATCTCACAAATCTTCCAGATTAGTTTAAATAGGGATTGAGGAAAGAGGAAGGCCAGGCATTGTGGTTCCCTCTGGGTGTGTGTCCTGTGTGTGGATCCCAGGCCTGCTCTTAGATTACCTGAGTCATCTGGGGCTGGTTCCTTGATTCCCCGCTTCACCCTTTCATGGTCACATGAAAACAAGAAAAATCAACCTCAATTTCTCTTTAAGTTTTGTGTAAAGATAAACACCAATAGCCCGTCTCCCAGCCCGAGCCTCCTTCAGGCCACTGCTGGGCCGCAGGCTGGACGCCCAGGGCGGCCCGCAGGAGGAAGCGCGCCCTGCCGCGGCACGGGAACTTCCCAGACGCCGAGTCGGGAGCGCCAGCCGCGGGGTCCGCTCGCGCCCCTGTTCCGCAGGTGTGCGGGGCTTGCGCCCAGCCCAGGCCGCCGCGCGTTTCCACCCCGCCCGGAGGCCCCGGGCCTAGCTCTTCCCCAGGCTCCCGCCCCGCCGCGCCCCCTCCAAGTCCCCCGTGCGCCGCTGCCGCCGCCAGCGCGTATCCTAAGCCCGTTGCCCGCGCCGCGGGCTGCCGGGGAAGTTGGGGCAAGGCGGGCCGGGATGCGCCATGGCCTTGGCCCGGCTGGGCTCGTGGCTCGGGAAGGTGCAGTGGCTCGCGCTGGTGTCGCTCTTCGTCGCGGCCCTGGCCAAGATGGGCCTGTACCTGGCGCAGTGGGCGCTGGCCAGGGCGTGACACCAGCCCCGGCGGCGGGCGCTGGAATCTGGCGAGGGGCCGCGCCCTGGGTCCGACGCGCTGCTCTCCTGGATCCTGACGCTGGGCAGCTGGAGGAGCCAGCGGTAGACGGCCTGGGTGACCGCCCTGAGCGAGGAGGCGGAGAGGAAAGGGGGCCCGCCTTTCCTGTCCTTCGAGGAGGACCCGCGAGGAGGACCCGCCAACCCCTGGAGTTGGCGGTGGAGGCGGTCTCCAGTGTGCTCAGCTGGAGTTCCACCTGAAAGAGAAGAGAGAGAACCGCCAGATTAGCTGGTCCTTCATGAGTGTGCCGGAAATGGCCGTTATTATCCAGTCCAAAGCACTGGGGAGGACCAGGTGGCCTAGACGCGCACGGTGTCAGACACTCTGAAGGAGCTCTTGAAGCATTTGGTTGGTTCTGCCTCTCCGTCAGTGCTTCTGATCACCAAGCCCACGAATGTACAGGAAGCTCAAACTTAGAGTGTGCTCCCTCTACTGCTCAGGAATCCTGTCCTCCCAAACCTCCCAGGGCTCACGAGCTAAAGCTGCTGGTGAGGAATATCCGCGCCTTCCTGCTCAGCGAGCCCGATGCTTCAGGCCACGTTAACAGTGTGCGTCGTGCAGCTGAACGATCCTCTTCAGAGGTTCTCCAGCACCCTGACGAAAAACACTACGGACCTCACGAGGGAAGAGGAATTCATCTTCGAGTTGAATGCCAAGTCGAAGGAGTTACACCTGCAGATTTCAGAGGCTGGGCGATCCTCAGAAGGTCTGCTGGCGACGGCGACAGTTCCTTTGGATTTATTTAAGAAGCAGCCTTCTGGACCACAGAATTTCCTGCGGACCAGCGGGTCTGCCTGCTGCTGCTCGGTGCTAGCCGCCGCCACGGCAGAGTTTACTTATGTGGAACCTGGTGAATTGAAGTCCTTGCCCATCCCTCCCTCTGTTCCTGCTGCAAAAATAGAAAAGGACGGCACAGTGATGCCCTGTGGGACTGTGGTCACTACTGTCACCGCTGTGAAGACCAAGCCTCGCGTCCACATGGGGAGGGCGTCCCCGCTGAGCTCTAAGACGCCAGTGAAGACTCCCGTCAAGGTGAAGGTGATCGAGAAGGACATCTCTGTCCAGGCCATCTCCTGCAGCAGTGCGCCCGTCAGCAAAACGCTCTCTTCTTCAGACACAGAATTGTTGGTGTTGAATGGTTCGGATCCAGCGGCTGAAGTTGCCATTCGACAACTCAGCGAAGCTTCAAAGCTGAAACTCAAGTCGCCACGGAACAAAAGCACTGTTATCATGTCAGGGATCTACAAGACCTCACTATCCCAGGACCACGGTGCTGCCCTGATGCAGGACTATGCAGCCTCCGTGGACAGCGCCCACCAGGGGGACGCCCTGTCCCATCCGGAGGCGGCCGCAGCCTCTGCCCTGCCTGAGGAAGCCGAGTCAGCCCAGGCACCCTCTGCCCCTAATCCCCAGGAGGACGAACTAGACTTCTGGTACTTGGAAAAGGAACCCCTGGCTGCGGTCTGGAGCCCCCCGGCCCTGCTGGACCCCGACGGTGATGAGCTGTCAGAAAGCTCCGTGAGTGTCTCGGAGCCGGGTGCCGCCAAAAAGCATAAAGGAGGAGTTCTAAGGCAAGGTGCAAAGCTGTTCTTCCGCCGGCGGCGTCAACAGAAAGACCCGGGCATGAGTCAGCCACACAATGACCTTGTGTTCCTGGAGCAGCCAGAGGGCTCCTGGAGTAAAGCGGTCACCGTCACCAAGATCCTGAACAAGAAGCTGCTCTCCAGGGACAGAAACAAGAACACCATGAACGGTGCCCTCATGGAGCCTTGCACGTAAGGGCTGATGTCACCACCGCCAAGCCAGAAGACCTGCACCCGTGTTACTACCCTCACCAGGACACAGCGAGCTTGTCCGCCAGATGTCCAGAAGCCCCGCTTGTCTTGCTGGGTTTCTTCCAACCATCTAGTCTTTTAAAGGGAAAACAAAATCTGAGTCTCCAGCCAGGAGGTTTCCCTATAGAGGGCGAAAAAGCCTAACTTGCCACCAGATGCCAAATGAGACTTGACAGCTCCAGAGCTTGGGCCATGCTCAAAGCTAACAGTCAGGGCTAAATATTAGAAGGAGATTAACATTATAAGAGAAATAATATACTCTACTGGATTGCGGACGGTTGGTTTGAGGGACTCAGTTTGCCTTTTCTACACACTAACAAGTGTTGTTTTGGGCCCATGCCTGGACCATGTCACAAAAAGGAGGTGTCCTGTGCTGTCACTGTGAATGGAATGGGCGGGTCACATCTCCTCATCTGCTGCTTGGACTAAAACGCGCAGCTGGTCCTGAGTACAGGGAAGTGGAACATAGGCAGGATTTTTATAAATAGAGAAATTATGATAGGAATGGGAATGCAGTGGCAAATGTAGGAAGACATCTGCCTTCCCTATTAGCCATAGAACTTGAACTCTATATCCTATGCATAGTATGCCCAACACTTTTCTAAGTTT